TGGAGTGTGTGTGTGTGTGTGTGTGTGTTTCTGCATGAACTGTCAGGCTTTAATTAATAATTCATTGTATATGAATTCATGAGACACAAATTAACATCCAACATGTGGGGTTTAGGACCTTGACAAGTCTAGGTTCCAGAGGAAAGTGCATGGCATATTTAAAGGAAAAGGAACACAGTTTGAGAAATGTGATAGTGATGCCTATTCAAACGGCTTAGATTTAAACCATGGCATACAGTATAACGAAACTTGAAAATTATCTTTTACAAAACACTTGCAATTTGTATCTGCTTGAATATACTAAAACAGGAATTAACGTGTCTGTTACATAATCACACATCAGAGTTATAGTATTATCAGTAATTTTCTAAGAAATTGTTTGCCGGGGCACCTGGGTGGCTCAGGTGGGTAAGTGTCTGCCTTCAGCTCAGATCACGATCATAGAATCTTGGGATTGAGCCCCACGATGGGCTCCTTATTCAGTGGGGAATCTGCTTCTTCCTCTCACTCTGCCCCCCCACTCATTCTCTCTCTCTCTCAAATAATAAATTAAAAAATCTCTAAAAGAAGAACATGGGGGCACCTGGGTGGCTCAGTGGGTTAAACCCTCTGCCTTCGGCTCGGGTCATGATCCCAGAGTCCTGGGATCAAGCCCCGTGTCAGGCTCTCCGCTCGGCAGGGAGCCTGCTTACCTCTCTCTCTGCCTGCCTCTCTGCCTACTTGTGATCTCTCTCTCTGTCATATAAATAAATAAAGTCCTTAAAAAAAAGAAGAAGAATATGAGGGATGCCTGGTTGGATCAGTTGGTGAAGCATCTGTCTTTGGCTCAGGTCATGATCCTGGAGTCCCAGGACTGAGCCACACGTTGGGCTTCCTGCTCAGTGGGGAGTCTGCTTTTTGTTCTCCCTCTGCTCCTATCCCCACTGGCGTTCTCTCTCTTGCTTGCTCACACTCACTCTCTCAAATAAATAAATAAATAAATAAATAAAATCTTTTATAAAAGAATATAGGGGTGCCTGGGTGGCTCAGTTGGTTGAGTATCTGTCTTTTGCTCAGGTCATAATCCCAGGGGCCTGAGAATGAGCCCCATGTTGGGCTCCCTGTTCAGTGGGGATTCTGCTTCTTCTTCTCCCTCTGATTCTCCTCCCTGCTTGTGCTCTCTCTCTGTCTCAAATAAATAAAGAAAATCTTAAAAAAAAAGAACATAGATGCAGAAATCCTTAAATAATTTTAGCAAACCGAATCCAGCAGCACAGTATAAATATTACATTTCATGTCTAAGTAGGAATTCTCCCAGGAATACAAAGATGCTTCAACATAAGAAAATTACTTAACTCTAAAGCAATAAAACAAAGGTGAAAAAGCCCACAGGATCATGTCAATTGATGCAGAAAAAGCACTCAGAAAAACCCGATTTTTCCTGAAAAAACAAAAAAAAACAAAACAAAACACCAGCAAATTAGGAATGGAAAGGGAATTACAAAACATAATGAAGGGCATTACTGAAATAGCCATAGCTAATGCCATACTCAATGGTGGCAAACTGAAAGTTTTCCCCCTAACATCGGGAACAAGACAAGAATGTCTGCTTTCACTGTTTCTATTAAAGATTGTAATAGAAATCCTAGCCGGAGCAATGACACAAGAAAAAGAAATAAAAGGCATCTATATTGGAAAGGTAAAAGGAAAACTATCTCTATTGTCAGATGACATAATCTTATATATAAAAAATCCTAAATATAGAAAGCACATAAAGTTAGTAAGTGAATTCAATAAAATAGCAAGATATGAGATCAACAAACCAAAATCAGTTGTGTGCCTATATAGGAGCAGTGAAAAAATCTAAAATGAAATTGACAATTCTATTTTTTTAAAGATTTAATTTATTTGGCAGAAAGAGAGAGAGAGAGAGAGAGGGAGGGAGCCTGTGAGTGAGGAGCAGCATGGGGGAGGGGCAGAGGGAGAAGCAGGCTCCCCGCTGAGCAGGGAGTCTGATGTGGGACGTGATTTCATGACCCTGAGGTTCTGGCCTGTGGTGAAGGCAGATGCTTAAGCCACTGAGTCAACAAGGCACCCACGAAAATTCTATTTAAAATAGGGGCACCTGGGTGGCTCAGCGGGTTAAAGCCTCTGCCTTCAGCTCAGGTCATGATCCCAGAGTTCTGGGATTGAGCCCTACATCTGGCTCTCTGCTCAACGGGGAGCCTGCTTTCTCCTCTCTCTCTGCCTGCTTCTCTGCCTACTTGTGATCTCTGTGTGTCAAGTAAATAAATAAAATCTTAAAAAAAATTCTTAAAATAGTGTCAAATGGAATTAAATACACAGGAATAAATTTAGCCAAGGAGGTGCAAGACTTGTGCACCGAAAATTACAAATCATTGCTGAAAGAAATTAAAGAAGACGTAAATAAACGGGAAGACATCCTGCCTCAGTAAACTGAACACGTAATATTGTTAAGATGGCCGTAATCCCCAAGGCAATACAGAGATTCAATACAACCCGTATCAAAATCTCAAAGAGTTGTTTTGCAGAAATGTTAAAGCCAATCGTAAATGCATGTGTCCCTGCAAGGGACACAGATAGCCAAAACCATCTATCCGAAAAAGACCAAAGTTGGAGGACTCGCACTTTCCAACTTCAAAACGTATTTCTGAGCTCCAGCGAGCGATCCCAAAAAGTGTGGTACTGACACAACGGTAGACATACAGGCCAACGATTAGGAACTGAGAGTGAGAGAGAAACCCAGGGATTTATGAATAGTTGGTACCGAACAAGGGTGCCCAGGCCATTCAATGTAGGAATGAGCAATCTCTTCCAGGAACGGTGCTGGGAAAACTGAATATCCGCAGACATGAGAAAGAATGTGGGGTCCAGGGTAAAACCGAAATTGAACCCCCCAGATGGCTGACAAGCCTGGATGTAAACAGGAAACTATGAAACCCTTGGTATAAAACAGAGATGTAAATCCTGGCGGCTTTGGTTACGCAAGGGGCATAAGTAAATACTGCGGCAGAGAAAGCACAGCCACAAAAAAAGGAGGAGGAGGAACAGAAGAGGAAGAAGGAGGGAGGAGGAGGAGGAGGAGGAGGGTGAGAGGAGGGGAAGGAGGAGGAGGGGTGGGAGGAGGGGGAGGAGCGGGAGGAGAAAAACAAAGGATAAGTTGTACCCCAACCAAACCAAAACTATTTGTGCACCAAAGGACTCTGTCTAGAAACTATTACACAAGAGTTTCTTAAATGGGGTAGGAAAAGCATAGCCACACAAGAAGCAGGACGAGGAGGGGGAAGGGAGGAGGAGGAGGAGGAGGAGGACTTGGGGAGGGGGAGAAGGAGGAACCGTGTAGGCCGGGAAACCGCTGCCCCAGGATGGGAGAAGCATTTGCCAGGCACATAGGCGACAAGGGCGTCTTCTTCCGGACGCCTAAAGAACACTTTGAACTCAGCCACAAAGAGGCAGACAGAGCCGGGCCGAGCTCGGGAGCCGACAGATGTTCCTCCGAAGCGCGTGTGCAAGCGTCCAGGAGGCCCATGGAAACCCGCTCCCCATCGTTGGCCATCAGGGACGTGCAAGTCCAAAGCCCCGGGAGGGGCGCCTGGGTGGCTCGGCGGATGGAGCGTCTGGACTCTGGACCTCGGCTCAGGCCAGGCCTGTTCTCTGGGTTGCGAGACCCAGCCCTGTGTCAGGCTCCACGGTGGGCTCTGCGCCGGGCATGGAGCCTGCTTCAGCTTCTCCCTCTCTCTGTCGCCCTCTGCCCCTCCTCCGCTCCCTCTCTAAAAGGGTGGTGGGGGGGGGACAAAGTCGCCGTGAGATGCCACTTCGCCCCCAGTAGGACGGCTCTTCCTGGCCCCAGAAAGACCGACCAAGCGGGAAATGACCAGTCTGGGCGAGGATGTGGAAGAACCGGGACCCTGGCCCACTGCTCCTGGGATGGGGGAGTGGTCCGGCTGCGGCGGGAGCCAGCCGGGCGGCTCCTCGGGAAGGTAGCCAGGGAATGACCCTAGGACCCCGTGACCCCGCGACCCCGCTCCTAGCTCCACAGGGCAAGGCACGGGAAACAGGTGCTCGGACAGAACCGTGTAGGCGACCGTCCACCGCGGCGCCGTTCCCATGGGCCCGGAGGTGGACATCACCGCGAGGCCTGTCCCCTGAGGACCGGGGTCCACGACTCCTGGTCTCTCCGTACCGTGGCCTCCTGTCCACAGCCATCAGAAGACACCAAGTGCAGATGGGCGCCACCACGTGCAGGAACCCGGGTGAAAACGTGGGTGCCGAGGGAAAGCAGCCCGACCGACCCGCCCCCCTCCTCCCCCCGGCCCCCCGCAGCCCCAACCACCTCGTCGTCGTCTGACGATCCCATCTCTAGGTCCGTCTTCAGAAGAGGCCAATCTGTTCTGGCAGGAAGCAGAGGAGGGGTTGCCTGCCGGGCTCCGGGGGGGGGGGAGGGGGGTGCCGTGGGGAGCGTCTGCCCGCCAGGGGCGGGGCTTCCTTTTGGGGGCGGGGCCCACGCTGCGGAGCGAGATACGGGTGACGGTCGCCCCACACGTCGAGGGTCTGCTTGGGGCCACGAGGTCCTCCCCCGTCTGGGGTTTCTTGGGTAGGACGTCCCAGTGGGGCGGAAGGTGAGCCTCCATCGCCTCCGAGAGGCGTCGTGGGGGGCCGTGGGGGGGAGGGGGGGCAGGCTCCCGCTCGCGCCATTTCTTGGTGGGCCCGAGCTCCCGGCAGGGGCCGATGGGAAAGCGGTGACCTCACCGGATCTACGTGTCCCGAAGTGTGTGGCCCCGGACCAATGACGGGGGTCGGTCTGTGGTCGCTAGGAGACGGCGGCGTAAGGGCCCGAGTCCTGAGTCCCAACCGGGTGGCTGGAGAAGTTGGGACCTGCTGAGCCCCGCCGAGCCCCGCCGAAGCCGCCGAGCCCCGCTGAGCCCCGCTGAGCCCCGCCGAGCCCCGCCGAAGCCGCCGAGCCCGCAGAGCCCCGCCGAGCCCCGCAGAGCACCGCCGACCTAGGCCCGTCGCCGAGCCAGAGCGCAGCCGAGGCCCAGCATGCCGGCCAAGAGGAGCCATCAAGGGTCGTCCGGAGGCCAGAGGCAGGCCCGCTCCCGCACCGCCCGAGCCGAGCTGTCGTTCTCCGTGAGCCACGTGGAGCGCCTCCTGCGCGAGGGCCGCTACGCCCGGCGCCTGGGCTCGTCCGCCCCAGTCTTCCTAGCGGCCGTCATCCAGTACCTGACGGCCACCGTCCTGGAGCTGGCGGGCAACGAGGCCCGGAACTGCGGCAGGACGTGCATCACCCCGGAGCTCGTGGACATGGCGGTCCACAACAACGCGCTGCTCAGCCGCTTCTTCGAGTCCACCACCATCTCCCAGGTGGCCCCGCCCCACGACTAGCTGCCGCCCCACGCCACCCGGCCCCTCGGCCCGCCCGCCCCAGCCGGGCCTGCTCACCGCTGCAGCGGCCCGGGGCGGCCTGGGGCCTCGGGCCCAGTCCCTCGCAGTCCCCACAAGGGGCTCAAGAAACCCGTGTGTCCAAGCAATAAAAGCCAAGGAAAGAAACCCGCGCGCGTGTGTGTGTTTTCGGGCGTGCGGGCGCTTCGGTCACTCGGTGGGCCACGTGCTTCGGGCATGTCCCCCGAAGGACAGACCCCCAGGCAGGGTCTGGCTGGGGGGTGGGGGTGAGTACAGAAAAGCCGTTTCGCTCAGGGACGGTGCAGGGGGGTGGCCCTGGGCGATCCAGGCTGGCTGGGGGTGGGGGGGCACCGAAAAGCCGTTTCTCTCAGGGACGGTGCAGGGGGGTGGCCCCGGGTGGGACAGGCTGGATGGGGGTGCGGGGGTGCACTGGCGCCCCCGAGACCCCCACATGAGCGCCGAGCAAGCCAGAGCCCGGGACCGTCCCGGGAAGGACGGGGTTCCTGGGGCCGCAGCTCAAGACCAGGACCGCGGCGTCGTGGAGGGGACAACGTGCCAGGGCGATCTCCCGGGGATGGGACGGAGGGGTGGACACACCTGTCGGCGTGGACTCTGGTAGGGCAGGGGCTTGGACCGGAAGGTTGAGGAGGGACGGTGCGGGGGTGGTGGGCGGGGAGGGGGTGGGTTGGCCACCGCGAAACGTGCAGACTTGGCGGGGTGGACACACTTGGGACGGCGGGCGGGGAGCAGGGACTCGGCCTTCGCGAACCATGCGGACTTGGCCTTAGGGCCACGTGGCGCCGCGGCTTGAGTTCCGCTCGGCTTCCATTTAGGGACGCTAGGGGACGCCTGTACTAGCAACCCGGGCCGGCAGGCTGTCGCCTGGCAACAGCCGGCCCCTGGCCAGGCCCCGCCCCAGGACTGACGATTTGCATAGACAACCCCCCCCCGCCCCCCTGTCGGTGAGGCCTCTCGCTTCGGATCCCGCGCTTTTCCTAGCGCCGGCGCGGCAGGGCGCGCGCGCACGCGCGGTGGTGCCGCCTCTCTCCCCCGCACCCCCCCCCCGCACCCCGGCCTCACCTCCACCGAGCGAGCGGGTCGGAAGGCACGTCGCCTCCAGGCGCCGCCGCGCCCCACCGACTGCGTCAGCGAGCGGGCGACGAACATGGCGGCGTCCGCGGCCGGCCTGAGTGGCGGCGCGGGCCCCGGGCCCGAGGCTGGGGACTTCCTGGCCCGCTACCGCCAGGTGTCCAACAAGCTGAAGAAGCGGTTCCTGCGGAAGCCGAACGTGGCGGAGGCGGGCGAGCAGTTTGGCCAGTTGGGCCGCGAGCTGCGTGCCCAGGAGTGCCTGCCCTACGCGGCCTGGTGCCAGCTGGCCGTGGCGCGCTGCCAGCAGGCGCTCTTCCACGGTCCCGGGGAGGCGCTGGCGCTGACCGAGGCCGCCCGACTCTTCCTGCGGCAGGAGCGCGACGCGCGCCAGCGGCTCGTCTGCCCGGCCGCCTACGGGGAGCCGCTGCAGGCCGCGGCCAGCGCTCTTGGCGCCGCCGTGCGCCTGCACCTCGAGCTGGGCCAGCCGGCCGCCGCCGCCGCCCTCTGCCTCGAGCTGGCCGCCGCCCTGCGCGACCTGGGCCAGCCGGCCGCCGCCGCCGGCCACTTCCAGCGCGCCGCCCAGCTGCAGCTCCCGCAGCTGCCCCTGGCCGCGCTGCAGGCGCTCGGCGACGCCGCCTCCTGCCAGCTGCTGGCGCGCGACTACAACAGCGCCCTGGTCACCTTCACGCGCATGCAGCGCCTGGCGCGGGAGCACGGCAGCCACCCAGTGCAGCCACCCCCGCCGCCGCCGCCGCCGCCGCTGCCCCCGGGGCAGCAGGTGGGCCCCGGCGCCGCCCCGGCCGTGCCCGCCGCGCTGCTCCCTCCCAGCGCCGCTTCCGCGCCCGGCGCTTCCTCTCCCGCCACGCTCGGAGCCTTCGCGGACGTGTTGGTCCGCTGCGAGGTGTCCCGCGTGCTGCTGCTGCTGCTCCTGCAACCGCCGCCCGCCAAGCTGCTGCCAGAGCATGCCCACACCCTGGAGAAGTACTCCTGGGAGGCTTTCGACAGCCACGGGCAGGAGAGCGGGGGCCAGCTTCCCGAGGAGCTGTTCCTGCTGCTCCAGTCCTTGGTCATGGCTACCCACGAAAAGGACACGGAGGCCGTCAAGTCGCTGCAGGTGGAGATGTGGCCGCTCTTGAGTGCTGAGCAGAATCACCTCCTTCACCTCGTCCTGCAAGAAGCCGTCTCTCCCTCGGGACAGGGCATCTGATGAATCACTTCGCCCAAGTGACTTTGGGCTTGTGGCAGAACTTCGTGCACCTGCCCTGGCCTTTGGGGCGAGGGGCGGGGGGCCGTGCGAGCGGGCGGCGGCGAAGGGAAGGGGGTCCGAATAAAAGACAGGAATCCTAGCAGTTCTGCCTTGATCTTATTCCTCTTGACTCCTTAGGCATTAAGTTGACCGCAAGTTCTCTGTAGTCCCAGAACTTACTGCCGAGACGGTGGGAGGGAAACAACATGATGGGATCCATGGAGGACATGGCTCTCTTCCCCCAAACTGCCCACATACAAATAAGAACCTCCTGGGGCGCCTGGGTGGCTCAGTGGGTTAAGCCACTGCCTTCGGCTCAGGTCATGATCCCGGAGTCCTGGGATCGAGCCGCGCATCCAGCTCCCACCTCTGTGGGGAGTCTGCTTCGCCCTCTGACCTTCTCCCCTCTCATGCTCTCTCAAGTAAACAAAATCTTTACCAAAAAAACAAAAAACCAAAAAACAAAACAGGAATCCCCTTTATCCCTTACCTCTTCTTCCACCTGACGCCCCACCCCCTACCTCTTTGTTGCAAAGTGAGGACTGGATCTCGCACAGCGCCCAGTACGTAAGCTATAGGGTTTTTTTTTAATCGTGATTTGATTTCTTAGCACAGATCAGTGTCTATCCAAGTGACCACCCAAGTTCTTTGTTTCGTCCGCCCCACACCTATTCGTGGGGATGATTCCACGACCTAAGCCCTTGTGGCTACAGCCCCAGGTCCATAAGAAAGCCCTTCGGGTGCTCCTAAAGTGGGTTTTAGCTTTCCTTCCATCTGGAACATGGGAACAGCTTCTCCACATAATCGGGAAGCAGAAAGGAGAAAAACAGATGGCTGTCTTTCAGGTCCATGAGGTAGTCATCCCCTTGACACAGACAGTGTGCCTAGTCCTCAGGCTGTGCCAGGCCAGGAGTCTACAGAGACCCTCTGCCACGTGGACCTCTCAGAGAGCTGCAAGGCCACTGGGTCCCGTGCAAGGGGCGGGGCGTGTTCTAACGCAGATGGGCCCGATGTGCCTTGGAATTCACCGTTCCGATTCTAGGTTCTAGCCCCAGAGGTACGCCTAGTCCACGTGACAACTTTTATTTGTAGTAGGGATCTCTCTGCAACTCTTCCTTAATGCAACTGTGTAAAATCAGCACGGTTCTTTCGCATCGCGTGGTCGTGCCTATGCGGGACGGTGTCTTTGTTCCCCAAGAGCAGGATAGCAACTCATTTCAAAGTACTACATTTACAAAGATTCTTGGTCCACATGTTACATGCAAATGTTACAAACTGGGTGTTATTAAATTCAATTTTTTTTCTCTCTACAGTTGTGAGAGTGATCACGAGAACTCTTCAGAATATAATCTCCCTCTCCAGTCATTCAGCTTTGGGAAAATGCATCCTCTAGGCTGATGCTGTATACAGTACTAATCTTTTGGGGTGCCATTTAAGGACACGGTTTGGCAGATTTCTGTTTTGCCTTCAGTGTGTGTGTTTGGGGGGGCGGAATATGGTAAGGGTTGTCACCGTGCCTTAAGTGCCTCAAAATGGGTGGGACTTTCAGGGTAACCTTTACTACCCCTACTTCAACAGTGTGGAAGCAATAAGTAACGGAATACAAGAGAGACCCATCTGAGACAGAAGCAGCTAACATTCCCATGCTCTCACTTGGCTGCCTAGAAGGGTCTTTCGGAGCCCTAGAAGCCTAGTCTAACTTACTGCAAAAGTGCGTAGGGTGTCAGACACATGAAAAGATGCTCAACATCATTCATCATCAGGGAAATGCTAGTCAAAACCACAATGAGGTATCCCCTCACATCTGTCAGAAAGGCTAAAATCAGAAACACAGGAAACAAGTGTTGGCGAGAATGTGGAGAAAAAGGGACCCTCTTGCACAGTTGGTGGAATGTCCTCTGGTGTAGTTGCTGTGGAAAACACTATGGAGATTCCTCAGAAAGTTAAAAATAGAGCTACCATCTGGTCAAGTAATTTCACTACCGGGTATTTACCCAATGAAAATGAAAACACTAATTCAAAGAGATATATGCACCCCTATGTTTATTGCATTATTTACAACAGCCAAATTATGGAAGCAGCCCAAGTACCCATCCATAGATGAGTGGATAAAGAAGACACACAAATTGGAATATTTCTGAACCATAAGAAAGAAATCTTGCCATTTGCAACATGGATGTATCTAGGAGTTATAATGCTATGTGAAATAAGTCAGAGAAAGACAGTATATGATTTCACTCATGTGGAGTTTAAGAAACAAAGGATTTGAAAGAAAAAAGAAGAGACAAACTAAAAACCTAAGTAGAGAAAACTAAGTAGAGAAAACAAACTGATGGTTACCAGAGGCGAGGTACGAGGTATGTGTGGGGATGGGTGAACTAGGTGATGGGGATTAAAAGTGTACGTATAGTGGTGAGCCCTATGAGTAATGTATAGAGTTGGTGAGTCACTACACTGTACACCTGAAACTAATATAACACTGTTCATTATTTATACTGGAATTAAAAAAGAAAGTAGTTTAAAAAAAGTGGTTAGGGTGCATGGTCCTTTTTGGTTTTGCTTTTTCTTAGTATACTCCTCTCACCCTGGGCTACAGGCCTGGCCAGCTGCCTTACTGTCTTATTGATGAGGGAGCAGAAGGCATGCTGAGGAC